AATTAGTCCCTAGACCTGTAGTTCCCATGGGAGATGTACACGTGTTCCTGTAGGCACTGGACCCCACTGAAGTGGGGAGATGTCAGAAGTTTTCAAAAACGTGCATAAAATCTCTTCTAGCTTGTCTGACATTCTCTGTCTCTGGAACCAAATCTGCTTTTCAGCTTCTTGCCAGTAAAGTCAATGTAGCAATTTCCTCTTACTTAAAACTTTGTAATTGTACCAACATAATTTTTACAGGAATTCCTAGGGGGGTGGGGGGAAAAGTTTGTCTCCTCCAAACCTTGATTTTCATGCTTTATTCATAATTTGCCACTTAGATCTGTGGGGTTGGGAGGTTAAAACTGGTCACACCTGCTCAGGCTTTACAAGTATGTTATAATGCAAACAGACCTCTTTCTTCCTATGGGACATCTTTAGCACATGCCTCTGTATTAGAAAGCTGTAGTGCTTGTTGGGGGGCTGAAGTTAGGCTTTGCCTCTAAGGCAATGTGTGGTCCTGTACACACGTTAGCTCTGAGCGGTCAAGAGAAAGGATTGGAGGACCATAGGGAAGGTGGGGAACGAAGGAGATGATGGGAAGGACCCAAGAATCTCTGCAAGGAAAAGGAGAAGAGAAGGAAGAGGGCTCATTATAGAGAGAAGCAAATTTCTTTTATTGGGAGCGAGCTAGACTGATGGTCAAAATAATCTTTTTGTATTTTACCTTCTTCCTTTTAGAAGTCACCTTTCCCATCTATGTGTGAGGATTCAAATCCTTCTAGGCCAGGCTGAAAATTGAACGAGTCAATTTTTTTGCTGGTATTACAAGACTTTTTGTGTAGGGGAGATCCTGAAAGCCCAGCCAGCAATGCATACACCTGAAACTGAGACGAGTGTCATTGAGATGGGATGGAAAGAGCCAGCAGTTTAATCACATTGCGATGCTGTGATTAAACTGCTGGGAATAAAACCGACAGATTGAGGGAAGACAGCCAGGACTGGCATATGTGGGATGGGAAAGGCTTTGGGATAAAGAATTGCTTGCTCAGAAACTTTTTTTTGTGGCATCCAATGTTAAATTGTTGCCTCCATTTTTTTCCAGCATTATAGTTAATTAAAAGTCCATTATCGAAGATATAAACTGAACTTGGATTTGTGACGTGACTAAGCCGTAGAGGCTGTAGAAGTATCTTACAAATGAGGGGTTTCGGGAAAGGCATGCATTGCATACTGGAGGGTGAGGCCTCTATTACTCACATTACAAATCCAGGCAGCAGAACAGCAGACACTTTATCCTTTCGCAGTTTAGCTCCTGCTGGCATGGCCCAGGGCGTTATAAAAGTGCCTGCTGAAACAGCCGATAAGCGCTTCCTGTTCTCAGAAAAGGACAGTCACGCTATTGTGCGAGAGCCACGCTGCTGAATTCCTCCAGATCCATGGAAAGACGGAAAATTCGGCTTCTCACTGCATTAGCGATAGTCATGGGAATGTGGCTGCAAACTTAACTTGGAGCTGTCGATGAAACCAGTTCTGGACTGAGCGCCTGCATCCAAGGAGCTGTGAAAGCGATACGCCAGAGCTGTTCAAGTCAGCAGGGAAACCTCTGCCGGGCTTTGTGGAGGTTGGGGTTTTGTGAGCAATTCGAGGGTGGACAATTGCAATTCTTCTGTGCTTCACACCTTGCTCTGCAGACAGCAGCTCGGGAAGCAAGAGGCTGATGGGTCTGCTGTATTATTATGTCCCTGGATTTCGGGTTTCTTGCTTTTGGCAAAGAAACAACAAGTGGTACCTGCCACCCTTAGAGCAAGGAGGAGCAAATCCAGGAGTGCCCCTGCTCTGGGGTGACAGTTACGTGCAGCTCCAGTCTCTGCGATTGGGCAGGGTCCTATGGGCCAATTTCAGGCAGGGTGGTTGTTTGGGTTTTTTTGGTTGTGTTTTTGTTTTGTTTTGTTTTAAACAGGGAGAGAATTAAAAACTTGGAGACCTTTCTTTTACGATCAGTAAAATCTAGCTCATTTAGTAAAGTGGAAAATAAAATGGAAAGTTTCATGTTAGAGAAGGTTGCTCATTTATTTATTTATTTATTGTTAGTCTTGTTGCTTTTAATTAGGTTCTCTCCCTGGTTTTGTGCTTTGGGATTCCTCCATGAGCTTGTGCCTGTACTCATAGCACTTAGAAAGCAAAATCAGTTTTCATTCTTGGGAAAGAAATGCTGACCTTTTTAAAGCATAACTTAATCAGGCTTGTATTTTGTGAATGATCTAGAAGGAAAAGCCTTACCTGTATTTTCGCTTTCCTTTTTCTTCCAATAATCCTCAGTGGGTGCATCTAGTGATCCAGAGATAACGAATCCCTTCTGTTTTCTTAGTACTCCGAGGGAGGATTTCTGGCAGGGGTGCATTAAAAGCGGGATCTTGAGACCCAGTGATGAGGTGGCTCCCAGCCAAGGCTGAGAGGGGAGGTAGTTGACCGGTGCCCTGGGAAAGAGCAAGAGTGCAGCATGTGAAATGCCTACCGTTACCTAAGCTTTTATTTGCACTTAAAGTAGTTAAGTCTGTAATTGAAGTTACTCAATATTTGATTTGTAGAGATGGTGAGGTACTTAGGGAGGCACAGAGCTACAGGATTAGCAAAAGGCTTTGTCTGCAGAAGTCTGAATGAAAGTCTTAATTAAAACAACCATGTTGGAACTCAATAGAAACGGTAAGCATGTCTTTGAGACACTACAGTTTTTCTGAATTCTGGAAAATGCTGTGACATCCAGGTACCCTTTTGAGGAAAATGCTAGTTCATTTTATGGCAACTCTTTATTATCAATCTGAGATAGATATGCAAGGTAAAATAATGAGAAAAGTGATTTCTATCCATTGTTGTCTTATTTTTATTTTATTATTTTATTTCTTCTGCCCAAGGAGTAGCTACTCTTTCCTCTTGAGGAAATGACTCTTGTGTCGCCTTATAGCAATGCCCCTTTGCCAAGAGGAAGCTTCTCTTTGAAAGAGGGGATGCTAGTTGCTATAAAGCTGGCTCAAATGTGTGTTTAATGTCATACTGACTTGTAAGAAAACATGTCTCCTCCAGCAGTCTGATTTGACCCATTTTGCTTTGACATTGCAGCAGATGCAGTCAACAATGCAGCTGGTTATGGATTCAGTGGAGTTGATGAGAGGGGCGCTTTCCGCTGGGACCTGTTGTCCAATTTAAATATCTGGAACATTGAGGTGAGTTAAAGGAGTGGCTGCGTTGGCATAATTTTAGAGAAATGGGCATGATAATGGGGAGGAGCTTTGCTGGAAGGAAAATAAGTCCATGCCAACAGGCTGTACCTCTTTAACATGGAGAGGTTTTGTATTTTATCTGTTGGGCAGATAAAAAGCATCTGTCACGCAGCCTTTGTCACGCTCTGTATTCAGGTTGCATTTCTAAATAGTTTATAGAGGACTAATAAATGATTAATCAGATGTTTAATAAATGAGCAGTCAATTACTGTAGATTGTGGCTGAGTTCAGCGGGTCAATAAATTGCTTGCAGCTATGATTCTCCACCATCTGTGGTTTATTCTGTTTATTTACTTCTAATAGTCTTCCACTTTTGTAACCCAGTTGAGACGGGTGGTGGTAGTGAAAGAGGCCGCCAGGAGTAGGCATTGCACAGACACTTTCAAGGGCTGCGTCCCTGCACATGCCTGGAATGCCTCTTATAAATGAAGAAAAGCAAGGGTCGGAGAGATAACAGGTACAAACTGAGCAACCTGAATGGGAACTGGCAGGGCCACATAGAGCTTAGATGGCTGCTGATCTAGAGCTCCATCCAGCAAACCACACTGTTTCTCAAAACATGTGTCACGCGTTTCTTGTGACTGGAGTATACTTTTAACATCCATTAGTTCTTTGTAAGCTGTTTGTTTGTTTCTCTAATGCAAAAGATGGCAAATGTAATTTGTTTGCCCCGAAGAATATTTTGTGAATGCCAGTGGGATGTGAAAATGTTTCACGTGTCTGAGACTGCTTTCTAAAGGCTTCTTTTCTTTAGAAATAGGAGGAGCTTCCTCCTGTAATTCTGTAGTTATGATTTTAAAAGGAAAAGCAGATGAAAATAAGTTGACTGCTTTATTGCTGAATGATCTGTGACTAAGTGAATGTGCTTTAATAGCTCTTCTCAAGAATGAAAGAGCCCCTGTAATTCTTCATTGAAAGATGCCAAAACTGGAAGTATCATTATACATGCTCTCTTTCTCAACATCCTTTCTCTGTCTTTTTTTTTTTTAATTAATCCTTACTGTACATCTCTCCTTGAGCGGTGCAGAATATACAGCCCAGAAATGCTTTATAGTCCTCAATGATGGCAGCACCCTAGATACCACTCTAAGATCTTGAATCAATGTCTGATTCAGTTTTGGGACAGGAGATGATTCCTACCTTGATGGGCTGAGGCAGCTTCTGCTTGAATGAGGAAAGTGAAGTGCAGGCAATGATCTTTAGTCAAGCCAAATTAAGGAAGCAGGAGTCTTTGCTCCTCTCTACCCACTGAACTGTAGACCCCCTCAAAACTTTTTTCCTTTACTGGTCACAGGGGCAACAGAGATCAGGGTGGAGAAATTATTTCCAGGAGCATAAAACAGAGTGCTCTCCACTGATTTGATCATCTGTGCAATGAGAAAAAGAGAGGCTACAGAGACCGTTACTTCGTGTGAGCCTTAAACTGTGACTTTATGCACCAACAACAATTCCGGGAGTTGAAGTTTAAATGTGATTGTACAGTGTATTTTCAGCAGGTATAGCCACCTGCATATGTAAAATTGCTTAAGAGTTGGGAACCTGAGTGCTAAATGTGGCTAGGAAATGACCTGATCTGTAGTAAAGATAAGCACATGGCAGGAGTTGTGAGGGCATTAAAATGTGACGGGGGCTAAATGCACGTGGGGGACTTGAAGAAGGCCTTGGCAGCATGCGTATTTTGACAACCAATGACTACTTGCTCTTTTGGTAACATAAGAGGAGAACTCAAAGGATGGCAAAAGAGAGCGACAATATTTGCCTAAAGAGAAATTATATTTTTCTTGGCTTCTCTTGGTGTGGTAACGCAATTAAAATGTGGCACTACTGCATTGGGAATTGCTAATCATTTTAACTCTTTAAACACAGAGGATGAAGTGCTAGCCTTCAGGATTCTGTATGGAAGTGCAAAAATATCTGCATATTCCCCTTGGAAACCTTTGCCTTTAATCCATCTTTTCAGTGTGTCCTTCCGTTCAGCTGATACGGGAAAATAATGTGGTGCCACTGAATCATGTCCCTACTTGGTGAGGAGGACCTCAGAGGTTTCTGTCAGTAGGCGAGGAACAAGGGGGAGCGGGGATGTGGAACCACCAGAGGTGAAGTTGACCAGGATTAGGGGAACTGATGCTGAATGGAGTCCAGCAGTCCCCTAAAACTGGGAGAACTGGTGCTGTGAGGAGGTACAGGTGGTTCTCCCAGGACCCTGGAGTCCACTGTGGTTTCTCATGCTGGGCAGTGGGCTGAGAATTGGCTTCTAAATTTAGTCCTAAATTTTTTTGTCCATGTTTTTCAGTCTTCCCCCTCCCTTCTCCAAATAATAATGCATTTCTTCTAGTTTTTATAACACTTTGTTTTAATAACACTCTAGGGAAGTCCAGACTGCGTAATGGCTGGCAAGATATCTCTTCCAAAAATGAAGCTGTTTATAAACTGAAGGGAAGGCCAAGCATGTAAAACAAGAAAGCTTTTCAGATTTCCCATAATTTGAAAAATAACCAAACATTGTATTTAATTTTACAAAACAAAGTGAGATTTTTACAGCAAGTGCCAAGTGTTAACGGTGAGCAATCAGCCTAGTTAATGTCCCTCCCAAAACATATTAGTATAATGATGGACTGTGGCACAGTCTTCACAACAGTTAGCTACTAGAATTAATATTTTCCGTGTACCACCTCTCTAATTTAAAATGCAAGTATTATTTTACAGGTTTCAGTGCTAACATTTCATGTGAACTTCTTTCTTAGACTGCAACAAGTTTTAAAATGTACATTGAAAACTGGAACATTCAGACAGCTGCCTGGCTAAAACGGTAAGAGTCATGAAACCGTAACATGCTTGTGAGACCCCAGAATTCTGGATGGCCTGGAAAAACACTGACTGGTGAATCTCATAAATGTATAGCCTCTTGCTGTCTTTATTTCCTCTGTCTGTAACAGTTGGTGGAATACAAGGGTATTTGGTGCTGTAAAGTTTTATTGCTGCAAATGTAAAATGCCCACATTTTATATATGAGCAGCAAAGCCATAAATGAACTGTTCAGATCTTCCGTAATAAAAAGTAATAGCATTTTGATGGCATCTTTTAGGCTGCTGTTTGCCTCCATTATTCTTGCTGTACTGTTTCACTTTGCTATGTTATGTTTCCCATGCGTACTACTACTGCAGGCGAGCCTTGTGTCACTGGGATCCAGTTCAGCTAGAAGGGGAGAGAAGTCAAAATCTTCAGAGCCCCAGTGTAGTCCGGTTTGGAGTTACCAGAAGATGCTTGCTAGGGAGTCCCTGTTTAGGATATGGAGAAGAGACTTCTTATAGCACTGAGAAGATCTGATTTTAACCCGTGACTGTTAAGGCACATATAAATACTATCATAAGTCCAAGTTTTGTAGATTGAACTGTCTCGCTGTTGCTTGATATACTTTTTGGTATGATTAAAGCTCAGTGTACAGTCATTGTGAGGTCTGAAATGCAGGCACAGATTTACTGTGGTTATCATAACTATTTTCATTGTTAACCTCTTAAAAGTCAATATCTACTATTTCTCATGATTCAGATGAAGTTCCTGATAAAGTAGTGCATTATCTTGACTCGTTTCTTTGGAACACAGCACTTCAGTTAAACCTCAGATAGCCGAATAGACTGGTTAGTGTGTTCTTGAAATGGTATCATTCGCTCGCGTCTTTGGAGTATGATTTTGGGCTGCTAAAGTTAGCAGGAATCCCCTGGTTTGCAGTAGCTTACGGCACTCCCTGTTGTTTCCAGCATCTGCCAGATAACAGTGCCTAAAAATAGCTCTGTTCACCAGTGAAGGGTGGGGTCACGTCTCTGTCTGTCGATTTGCTCTTGATCTGCCATCAGAGTTTTGAAGGGTAGTGTGTGATTCCAGATAGAGGTATAAAAGCGAAAGAGAAGTCTTGCCTGCCTTTTGCCCCGCTATTTATTTAAATGGTATGAGCAGCGGGAATATTTGTACAGGCGCTCTTTGGCTACTCAGCGCATAAAAGCATGCTTCCTCTTTCCACCTAACCCTCCATGTAAATGAAGGGAGAGTGCCTCATGCCCTCGTCTGTAACTGAGGAAAGATAAGACCGTTAAGAAAGCAGAATAAGACCTTAAAAACAGAGAAGGGTTTGGAGTGCAGTGTCCATTGTTCAGTTGTATTCAGCCTCTTCTTGTCTTGTTTTCGTCTTTGCAGTGTTTGCTATGACAGAGCTCCCTGGTACCCTACGGCTTTAACGTTTATCCTGTCGGCCCTGTGGCATGGTATCTATCCTGGATATTATTTTACGTTTCTCACTGGAATCCTTATCACACTCGCAGCCAGAGCAGTATGTACCTTTCATTGTTCTCTTCTAAGGCCCATGCTAGATACTATCCAGCTGTCAACTGCGGGGACCACCCTGACATGGTCAAGCAGCTTGTCCCTGCTGTGAGCCCTCTTCCATGCCTTTGCGGGCTTGATGTTCACTGAAACTTTGTTCTGTATTGAAGCTGATTACAAAGTACCCCCAGCAGTTTTAATCAGCACCAATTCTGCACATGCTGCAACGCTGTCCCTGGCTGTCAGAGGAAACGTTGCTTGTGGGTGTACAGTTGGTAGTGCCACTGGCTATGTCCATGCAGCCAAATTAGCTTGGGATTCAAGGTCATGTTGGAGTCCAGACTTTTGCTAGGTCATGTTGCCTATATGCTGGCATGTAATTGGCTGTCAGCCCAGTCTTTCACAAGAAACTGTTACGGGTTGAGCATTAGCCCAAACTTGAACTCTTTCATGTGGATGTAATTGATGCGGTAAACTAGTCTCTCCGTTTATGGGCCTCATCTTGGGTAGAGCCACCGAAGACAGAACAGATTTTGTGTCTCACTGTTGTTAATTTTACCACTACTGATTTTTCAGGCTGAACCAGCCAGTTGTGCAGGGCTGGGAAGCACCACCGTTGTCTTTGAGTTTGACTGTGGGTAAATAACCATGTCAATTTGAAAGGTGAATTAAACTAGTGATCAGCATTAACCGCTATGGCTAAAGCAGGTTGCTGAACATACGGTCTTAACATTTGCTTTGCCTCTCATTTATGAGGATTTCATAAATGTGAAGCTAAACCAAAATCTCTAGGGAACAGCACATGCTTGCAGGTATAAACACATATTTTTTTCATTTAAAGTAACTTTGTTTCACCGTTAATAACCAGTAATAAATCAAAACCAGGAGGGAGGAAGATCAAATCATAACAACTCCCCTCCCCAAAGACACTGTGCCAGACACCCAGCACAGTGAAAAAGTGTGGAGAGTCTGCTCCCATGATTATGGCAGAGGAAATTGGGGGACGCTTCTCTGTTTGCCACTGGTTGACTGTGGGACCTTGGATATGCCAGTCGATGCACTTCTGTCTTCCTTCTTACTCTCAGTGCTTTCTAACTGGTGCACATACTTTTCTGTGATAGTAATGCTGATGATAAGTGGAGAGTCATACACTGCAATGTGTCCGCATGACTTTGCCTAAGAAATGAATTTATACTATTTTCTGTTTACTTTTCCCTGACCTGCAGATAAGAAACAATTGCAGACATTACTTCCTCTCGTCAGTGCCTCTCAAGATAGCATACGACATTGTTACCTGGGTTGCCACTCAACTGGCCGTGTGCTATACTGTTGCACCATTTGTTATGCTGGCTGTTGAGCCCACGATTAAGTTTTACAAGTAAGTTCTCTCCTCTTGACTATTATTCTCCAGACCGGCACAGGCTTTTGTTCAATAACCCAAACCACACTGAAAACCAGTTGGCATTTCATCAAATTTGAAAGGAGTTCAAACAGGCTGTTTAATAATGTGTAAGGGGTGATTTTTGCACTCCTGTAACTTAATGAGATGATAATAATGCCAAGGCAGAGCACTTCGCTTCTACTTCTCAATCCTTCTGTGTCCTTACGTGACTTTTCTCGTATTCAGTTTCCTTTTTCAAAACGGTCAAGTCTCAACCATTAACAGTGGCCAGGGCTGGAGAGGTTAAGAATAATGTGAGTTGGCAGTAGGAAGGACTCAACGAGAAAAGACCAGGCTTCCAGCTGCCAGATGCGTAGAACAGGAGATGTGATCGGTCGGCAGGAGATAAGGAGGGTGCCTGACAGAGCATTACTTCTTGAAATGAGTATGCTTTTCTTTTTGAAAATTTCCATAGGAAGTGAATACGTCTCTAGGTTCCTTAAAAATAAGAAACACTGGTGTTGCAGAGTATATTGGATATAAAAATAATTTGAAATAGAGAAATTGAGAAAATAATTTGAAAAGGGAGACTGGACTACATTGCTTTGCTTTTCTTTCATTCTACAGTGAACTGTCAACTTAGAGTAACAGGTTTTGGTTAAGACAGACAATTCCCTCCTCTAACATGAAAGACATAAAACTGGTAGTCAAGATAGCTGCTGTCAGTAAGTCTGTTTGAAGGGGGTTGAATTTTGACATTTTCTATTCCTGTTTCTTAAAACGTTTGATTTCAACACAGAAAACTTGCCACATAAAAATTACTCCAGATCTTTCTTAGTTTCGGTAAGATGCTTTCCCAACTACCTCATTAATATCTAACTTTTCTGTCTTTCAAGACAAAAGTAGCAAACAGCAATCAGAACAAAAAAAGAGAGGAGAGATTAAAATATTAAACTGGTTGATAAATTTGCCCCATAAGTGAAGTGGTTTCCCTTTGTGCTACAAAAGGCCACTCCATGAAGTAAATATTAATGTAATTCTGTGAGATTATATTGCTAACATCAAAACTACAGAAATAAATATGTATAAAGAACTTGCTAGCACTATGCCAGCTTCCATGAAGGCAGAAATGGTACTTTTACCAAAGTTCTGAACAAAGAAAATGATTTTCCACCCTTGCCCCAGGTTGGGTTATCACCTTAATATTGTTTGCCCTAGTGATTTTGAACATAGTTAACACTTAAATTTAGAGACTGTTAAACAAGGAAATTTGGAGCACTGCACACCTAGCAGTGGTCTTAAGCACCTTACAAGGATATTAGAACTATGGTAAGAAGCATAAATGAGACCATAGAAAGGTGCATCTCTGTGGTTAAGAGCTGGACCGTACTGCTCCCAACCATGGTCCTCCCCAAGCTGCCAGAGCCTCATGTAATTGGTTTAAGTATTTTTTATTTCTGTTCAATCTTGTGTATACCAAATTATTTGAAATAAACATATTTGATATTTAATAGGAGATCAAGTTATGATATCTCTGAGTAGTTGCCTTCAAAAGCATAACCCTTCTGTAAACTTCATTACCTGACCTTCCCCAGTTAAAAGTTGAGTGTTTTGATTTATTTCAGATCTCAGCACTTGGAATGAATTTTTTTTCTGTCACTTTTTTTTCTGATTTTTTTTTAAAACTTGTACAAGTTTTGTGTCCTAAGCATGAAGGATATTTCTTCAGAATGTAGCCTTGTATACTCTAACATTAAAAGAGATGGGCTGAGTAAGTCTAGGGTTGAATTACATGGGTTTATCTGAGCTGTCAGACTTTGGATTCTGGAGTTTGCCGAGTTGTTCCTTGCCTCATTAACATCCACAGCAACATTTTCATCAGTGCCAGCTGATACCACATACATAGGCTGTGTGAAATTCAAGGGTGTATTTTTGTGCTTTCTAGGTCAGGTTCATACTTTCTGCATTCATCCCTTAGCACTAAATTCTGCACGGACTTACCGAGGTTGCACAATTCATGTTATTACTGACAAAAACATAATATTGTCTTTCTGCTTTTGTTCCCAGGTCTATGTATTTTCACATGCACATTCTAAGCATCTTGGTGTTGCTTGTGTTACCCATCAGACCTCAAGCCCACTCCATAAGAAAGCCTCAGAATCAGGCCATGCAGAACTCTGTTAAAAGCAAAGACAAATGATGCCTCCAAAGAAAATTGCCGATTGGGAAATCGAACTGTTATATTGGAAACAAACAAAGAAGAAGAAAAACGGGTGGGATGAGGGTCGAAGTAGAAGACATGTGGCATTTCTATTGGTTATCTTAAAATCTTACCTAACAGGGCAGAAGGGAGCCTGAATGACTGTATTTCAAATTATTCCAATTAACAGAGATTTTACAGGCAACGTTTACAGGCTCATAGGGCATTTTGATTTTTTTTTTAATAAATATTTTTATGAAGTGTTTTTATATATTTAAACTTTTTCACACAGAGGGGCATTTTTGCTCTTTTACAGAAATATACAATTATTAATCAATAATCTTGTGATTAGAGGGACAGGAAGCAGCTAGTAAAGAGTTAGACCAGCTGCCTGATAGCCTGGTGCTGTGGGCAGCTGGCAGGGAAGCTTTTCACCTCTTGGCTATGGAGAGAGATGGTGCAAGTAGAAAACTACAGAGATGGGGTTGCTCGAGGTGCTGGCGCTGACTTTCGCCCCGGCAGGGAGAAGAGGGAGCGGGGCTTTCCCTGGCAATCCCCAGAGCCAGGGACTGCAGCCTGAGCTCGGCAGCAAGGGTATTTCACATCCTTCAATGTGACACCTGCTGGTAATGAGGGCAAGACAAGTCCTTTGGGAATAGGTGTCTGGGAGCACTGGCAACTGGCTAGGCCAAAATCTAAAGCCAAGTAAAAGCAAAACAAAAAACCCCCCAACCTTTGGAGTAGAAGAAGGGACATACACCCTGTGATCTGTAGAGTTGTGCTTCTCTAATGACGCAGCTGGTGCTCATTGCTGCATCGGTCTTACTCTGCAGTTTTAGAGTGATGCAGCACTTCCACTTCAGTATCAAAATAACTGAGGAGCCATGCAGGTTTAGTGTTTTAAAGCTTGCAGTGATGGGTTAAATCTGAAAAAGGTTTGTAATGGAGCAGACTGTTCTACTCAAAAACATCCGGTTTTGTGGAGGGGTTACTTTTCAGCAG